TAGCTGCGGTGGGCAGAAACTGACACACGCCCCCCGCCGCTCGGCCCGGGACGACGACAACGGCCACGACATCGCCAGCAGCCCCTGGATCGCCAGCAGCACCAAAGGTCACTCTTGCCCAGGGTCACTCTTGCGTGGTGTAGCCGACTGGAGCCCTCCAGAGGCCCCGGCGCAGACCTTCGGCAGCCTTTCGGGGGCTCTCCGAGAGCCCTCGGGGGCGACGGACGGCGGCGGCGGCGGCCCCACAGACGGCGCGCCCCTCTTCCCCAGCGCCGCCGAGGGGCGAGACGAGCCCCCAGCTGGGCCAGCCGTCCGCTCAGAAGCAGCCGCCCTGGGCTCCCACGGGGGGGCCATCGCCGCCGCCGTCGTCGTCGGCGTCGTCGTCGTCGGCGGCGTCGTCGTCATTGTTGTCGTCATCACTGTCGTCATCAATGTCGTCTTCGTAGTCGTCGTGACCGTGGTCGTGACCGCTGTGGTCGTCGTGGTCGCAGTGGTCTGCGTCGTCGTCTCCTTGCTCCTTCCCCTTCTCCTTCACGTTCTCTATCCCTTCCATCCCTTCTCCCCCTCGTCGTATCATCCGCCTCCTCCCCTCCCACTCCTGGAGCAGGGAGAGGAAAGAGGAGCGAGGCAGAAACAATGAGGAGGAGGAGGAGGAGGAAAAGGAAAACGAGGATGAGGGTGAGTATGATGAACCCGACACCTGACTTCTTGACATTTCGTCCCATCTAGCAGATATGCAACACAACATTATGTGCCGAATGTTGCGCCAGAGATTGCGCCATGGGTTGCGCCAGGCACCCCTCAATCTACCACATCGTCCTTTGCCTCATTGGATGCATCATTGTATATGGCATCGCAGATTGACCCAATGACCTTGCAATGCCTCCGCTCAGTGTGTACACTATTGCGCAATATGCTGTGCCATAGGTTGGACCATAGGTTGCACCAAATAGTAATTTTCCTGAGTGGGTGCGCCATTGCGCCAAAGGTTACGCCATAGGCTGCGGCAAGCACCCCGCAGTCTACAAATTCGTCCGTTGCCTCAGTGGGTTGCCCATTGCGCAATAGGTTGTACAATCGGGTGCGCCAGGCACCCTGCAGTCTACATGTTCGGTGGTTGCCTCAGTATGTGTGCCATTGCGCTGTAGGTTGCGCTGCAGGTATCGCCATAGCTTGCGCCAGGTAGTCCGACATTGGCCAAATACTTTGTTGCCTTAGTTCGCGCGTCTTCTGATTGTCCAGCTGCCTGCTGCAAGTCCCGCCACCATGCCAGCGCAGCACTCGCTGCGGCGACGCTTCGAGCACTAACGGCTGTATGTGTGGCACCCCTCCGTTTCTATTCCTGGCGGGGCTCTCATGCGGGGGCTGTCTGGGCCGCGTTGCGGCTGCCTTGGGCTCCTGTGCGGCCCCCTATGGGTGGTGATTGGCCGAGAGGGCGCACACGGCCCTCACATTAGAATAATCCAAGTTCCGGAAAAATTCCAGGCCAATGCTCTTGCAACATTCAAGCTCAACGTTGCTACAGTTTCGAAGTTCTGGGAAAGCTCGGTGGCGAAGAAGTTCTGGATCCCTGGAGCGCTATTTTTGTTTGAAGTCCCGAAGTTGTTTTGAACGTGTTTTTAAAGCTTCCCAACCGTCTGAATTCTTGACGCCCCGCGTATCCCCACCAGCCTTCCTGGGTAAGTGTGGCGCTCGGACTTCCATCCGTCGTCGCTGGGTTCACTTGCTTCGGCGTCCTGCTCGGCACCTACTTCGTGTTCCTGGTGCTGCTCTGTGTTGCCCTCGCGCCATGTTGGCCGCGCTGAGTCCCGCCCCTAACTTGACGTTGCTCTTTGCTTCGTTTTTCCTTTAACCAGTGGCACAGCCTGCCCCTGCTCGCCCGTCGTTCGACCTGTTTCGCGCGCCCGCGTACCAACAAGTATCCCCACCAACCCATTCAGGAACAGTTTGCCAGGTGAGTTGAAGCGTTGTTGCGGGAGGCTCTCGGGGGTCTCTCAGAGCCATCTTGGGGTTCTCTTGAGGTCCAGTTGGGGCCCTCTTGGGGTTCTTTTGGAGTCATCTTGGGGCCTCGTTGAGCCCTCTGGGCGGTCTGAGAGGTTTTTTTGGACCATATTGGGGCCTCTTTGGGCCCTTTTGGCGTGTCTGACAGGTCTCTTGGGGCCGTTTTGGCCCCCGTAGTTTAGAAGGAGGTGGGTGCTCAATTCGCCCCCCCCCCCCCCCTCGGAGGTTGAACGCTTGCCTTTGGGGGCCTTCTTAGGCGCTCTTGGGGTGCTGTTGGGCCCTCTTGGGGCCCTCTTGGGCCCTTCGTGGGGCTCTCGTGGGCCGTTTTGGGGTCATTTTGAGGCATCGGAAGCCCAGCAGAAGCGAACAGGCGAGAACGCACAAATCACTGATTCCTGTAAGGTTTCGGAGCCAGGTTGGCCTTTTGGGGAAGTCCTTGGAGGGCCTGGAGGGCAACTGAAACCATCTTGGGGCCGTATTGGGGCGTCTCCGTTGCATGTGAAAGGCTACCTTGAGCCATCTTCAGCTATCTTGAGCCATCCTGGCTTGGAGGCCATCTTGAGCTTTCTGAGGCCCACTCGGCGCCATCTTGGGTCACCATCGGCGTTCTAGCGCCTCGCGTCCCCCCTCCCAGGCCCAGGGGGAGGGGTAGGCAGAGGGGTCAAGACACCCTCCTAGGTAGCAGGCCGCCTAGCTCACCCCCACCCGCCCTCCCAACACATAGTAACACCCGCGCCTCAGCATGTTCAGCGGCCGTCTTTGGATGGACAGCTGCTGAAGAACACCAAAACCGAGCCCATGTGCGCGACGCGTGGGCGAGGTGCGCCACGCGTGCCGGGCGCCCCACGCGTGCCGGGCGCCCCACGCGCGAGCGTGCCAGGCACGCCTGGTGCGCCAGATGCGCAACGTGCCTCCGAATGCGCCAGGTGCGCCGTATACTCCAGCCGCGCCAGGTGCGCCACGTTTGGGGCACGTGCAGAGTTCAGGAGGGAAAAAAACACACAGACACAATTAATCGTCGATTTTCCAGAAAATATGGGAAAATATGGGAAGTGGCGGGGAAGACAAAAACCCAGAAACTATAAGAAAATATGGGGAATCTTTTTATTTGTGTGTATTTATTTGTGTGTCCCAGTTTCCCTTCAAGAGTGTGCCAGGTGCGCCTGCGCACGTGACAGCCCACATCGGGAGGCATGTCCGCCCCCCCAAGCATTTCGAATACCAATGCCCATCGTTGTGCCTGATGGGCCTGCGCACGGCAGGCCATACGCCACCAATTGGCAGTGATCGCGGGGTGGCCGCGCATGATCCGGATGTTGCCGCGAGGTGCATTTCGCATTGGTCGTTTGTCAGGGATTGTCGCCCTGCGCGCAGCAGGCAGTATGCTGACACCCGTGCCGCCCCTGTCAAAAACAATATAAAATGCTCGCGGGCCGCACGAACATGACTCCAGACGTTGCCCCAAAGTGTACTTCGCATTTTTTTGGTCATCGGGATGGTGGGTGGTGGCCGTCATCAGGTCCTCATTGTTCCTGTTTGGTTGCTGGTCGCCTGGGGGAGGGGGTGTATATTAACACGGAACAGTGATCAACCCTCCCCCGAGCACGGAGAGGAGGGGTTGTGGAAAAAGAGAAGACAAGCAATTCGTTAAACCACCTACGCCCAGAGGGTTGGTGGGAGTAACTTTGCCAAGCTGTTTTCACATTGCTCCCAAACTCTATCCGCGCACTCGAACTTGTTGTGCGAATTGTCCCTGGACGCATTTTTTTGTATTACCCCAAAAACGTGCCTCCCTTGGTTTCCAGACTCGAACTTTTGATGTTCCTTCAGTCCGAACCCAAACCACATTTATTGTTTTCCAAGGATGACCGTCTGTGCCCTCCTCAGCCAGGTAGATGCCTGGGACCTTCTTGATGTTGTCGTGGGTAATATTGGTTCTCTCTCGGTCGTCTGAGGAATCTCTTGGTGCTGTTTTGGGTGCTTTTGGGGGCCCCCTTTGGCCATCCTGGGGCCCTTTGGGGGGCCCCCTTTTTTTAAGCCTCCTCCGAGGCCCCTTGAGCCGATAGGCCCAACCAACCAATGTTCCAGCACCCGGTACTATGTCGCCTGTAGTCTTTGAATGAGCCTGGCTTGCCTGGAGGGCCTCCTGGCCTTCCCGTTGATGCCTTGAAGTTCTTATGAGGCTCCTTTGGCGCCTCTTCTTGGAGATGTCTTGGGAACTACCTTTGGTGCCTCTTGTCGGCGGCGAGCGAGGGGGCGAAGTGAGAAGGAGAAGGCCTTCTCAGAAGGCAGCGGGACTTCTCAGACGCCCTTGTGCCTTCTGAGAGGTTTTGCGTGTCTTCCGGGAAGGCTTGGACAACTTCCTAGAAGACGGGGGGATTTCCGAGCGTTCTGAGAAGGCCCGCCTCGCCTCACTTCCCCCCGCGCTGGCCGCCAGTTCCTGGAGGGACCAGATCACCCACTGTTGGCCCTCGCTGCGCTCCGCCCGCTGCGCAGGCGCTTCGCCCACTGTGGCCGACCAGGTCGCTGGTCAGTGCAGCATCGTGCATCGTCTTCTCGCTCTGGCCCTTTGTGGGCCCCGGAAACGGCAGGGCCGTTTTTTCACCGTTTCCCCAAAAATGTCCCTTGAAAATGGAAACGGCAAAAAAACGGCGACCGGAAACGGCAACAAAAACGGCTCCAAAATTGGAGCCGGAGCCGGAACCGGTCAAAAGACGGCGACGGAACGGGTGAAAAGACGGCGTCGGAAGCGGCAGCAAGAACGGCAAAACGCAACGGGTAAGAAAAACGGCCCCGTCGTTGCCAGGGCCCACGGAGCTTTGGCCCCGCTTTCGTCCTGGCTCCGCTCTGGGGGCCACACAGCAGGTGGCCGTCCGCGGCCAGAGCTCGCCGCCGGCCTCGGGGCGGTGCTGGGCGCCACCCCTGGCGGCCCCCCCCGCGGGGCGCCACGGCGGCCTCCGCCGGAGAGCCCGGGAGAGGAGCCCCGGAGCGGCGTGGGGCCGCCGAGGAAGGTCTTTGCGAGGGGGGGGGGGGGCACAGTCGGCCCCCCGCGCGGGGCGTCACGGAGGCCCCCCTGGAGAGCCGGGGAGAGGAGCCCCAGAGCGGCGTGGGGCCGCCGAGGGGGGGTTCTTGCGAGGGGGGGGGGGAGGCACAGTCGTCGGCCCGAGGCGAAGGGTCGAGGTCGGCTCGGGGAGGGTGCCCTCAGGTTCTTCGTGCGTGTGCTGGGTGTTCCCGGTGCAGCCTGGGGGAGGGCCGCCTCGAACGATCTCAGCGTGGGGGGCGCTTTGGCCGGCGGAGGGTCTCATGTTCTTCTCCTGTGCTTCTGGCCAGGCTCCGACGGTAATGCAGCCTGGGTGTGTCGACAGGGGTACGACGACGATGCCGATGCCGACGACGAAGACGACGACCAGGACGCCGACGACGTCAGCGCCGACGCCGACGCCGACGATGCCGCCGACGACGATGACGACGCCGTCGCCGACGACGACCACGAGGAGGACGGCGACGACGACGATGACGATGACGCCGACGATGACGACGCCGACGACGACGACGACGATGGTGACGACGAAGCCGATGGCGACGCCGACGCCGACGCCGACGCCCACGCCGACGGCGCCAACGCCGACGGCGACGCCGACGACGACGACTCGACGCCACGACGACGCCGACGAAGACGTCGACGCCGACGACGACGACGCTTGCGCCGACGCCGACGCCGACGCCGACGCCGCCTGAGGCGCCGACGCCGACGCCGACGAGGATTACGCCGACGCCGACGACGACGCCGACGACGCCGGAAATGACGACGCCGCCGCCGACGACAACGACGCCGACGACGACGACGACGCTGACGCCGACGACGACGACGACGACGATGACATCGACGACGCTGACGACGACGAAAACGACGACGGCGGTGACGACGATTCCGAGGCTGAGGCCGACGCCGACGCCGACGCCGACGCTGACGCCGGCGCCGACGCCGACGACGACGACGACGATGCCGATGCCGACGACGACGCCGACGACGGCGATGACGACGCCAAAGCCGACGCCGAAGCCGACACCGACGATGCCGCCGACGAAGATGATGACGCCGACGCCGACGTCGACGACGGCGACGACGACGATGACGATGACGCCGACGACGACTGCCGACGACGCCGACGACGGCGACGACGGTGACGACGACGCCGACGCCAACGCCGACGCCGACGCCAATGCCAATGCCAATGAAGACGACGCCGACGCCGCCAGCGCAGACGACGGTGACGCCGACGACGACGACGCCGACGCCGACGCCGACGACGGCCCCGAAGACAACGACGACGGTCACGACGCCGCCGACGATGCCGACGACGACGCCGACGATGATGCCGACGACGACGCCGACGCCGACGCCGACGCTGACGACGCCGACGACGATGACTACAACGACGACGACGACAACGACGACGACCCCGACGACGGTGACGCCGACGCCGACGCCGTCAACGAGGCCGACGCCGAAGCCGACCATGCCGACGCCGACGACGACGATGCCGACACGTCGACGCCGACGACGACGATGACGACGACTGCGACGACGACGACGCCGACGACGACGCCGCCGACGACAACGACGACGACGACGCCGACGACGACGACGACGGCGACGACGACGACAACGACGCCGAAGCTTACGCCGACGCCGACGCCGAAGTCGACGACGTCGACGCCGACGACGCCGACGCCGACGACGACGACGACGCCGATGCCGTCGACGACGCCGACGACGACTCCGGCGACGACGACGGTGACGTTGACGCCACAGCCGGCGCCGACGCCGACGCCGACACCGACGCCGACGCCGACGCGGACGTCGCAGCCGACGCCGACGACGCCGACGCCGACGCCAGTGACGACGACGCCGACGACGACCACGACGCCGACTACGAGGACGACGAGGACGACGACGACGACACCGACGCCGACTCCGACGCCGACGCCGACGTCGACTCTGGAGCCGACGCCGACGCCGACGCCGACGCCGACGTCGACGTCGACGACGACGCCGACGACGACGCCGTCGTCGGCGACGACGACGACGACGGTGACGCCGACGCCGACGCCGACGCCGACGGAGATGCCGACGACGCCGACGTCGACGTCGACGTCGACGCCGACGACGACTGCCGGCGACGACGACGATGACATCGACGACGACGACGACGACGACCACAACGACAATGATGACGGTGACGACGCCGACGCCGACGCCCACGCCGACGCCGACGCCGACGACGACGACGACGACGACGACGACGCCGGCGACGACGTCGACGCCGACGACGACGCTGGCGCCGACACCGACGCTGACGCCGACACCGACGCCCACGCCCACGCCCACGCCCACGCCCACGCCCACGCCGATGCCGACGCCGACGCCGACGAACGACGCTGACGCCGACGCCGACGCCGACGCCGACGTCGTCACCGACGCTGACGTCGACGCCGATGACGATGACGACGACTGTGACGACGACGACGACGACGACGACGCCGCCGCCGACGACGACGACGACGACGACGACGGCGGCGCGACGACGACGACGACTGTGACGACGACGATGACGGCGACGACAACGGCGATGACGACGACGACGACGACGACGACGACGACGACGACGCGACGACGACGAACAGGAGGGTCGAGGTTCGAGCTTCCTTCGTATATCGCCGCTTCTAGGGGGATGTAATGCAGCCCAGATCCCTTAGAATATTTACGGGGACCCTACCATAAAGCACGTGGCATTCTACCACGCCTCGATGTGCCAGGGGGCACGCTGGCAGACTCCAGGGACGCCTGCAGCATCTGCTGTGAAGGAAAAATCGCGACGCAGGCAATTCACGGCCACACCCTTCTATGCTTGGGAGGTCTTTTTGGGTCCCCGCGCCCGAAGCGGTGAAAACACGAGGTGTACGAAGAGGAGGGCGCGGAGGAAGAGCATTGACCATGAGGAGGATTAGGAGTATGCGTCAGACACGCAGGAGCAGGAGGATAGTGGATGGATGGAGGAGGAGGAGGAGGACAATGACGACAATGAGGAGGGAGACGATGGGAGACGAAGATGGCGACGTTGACGAAGACGAGGGCGACGAGGAGGACGACGACAATGATGAGATTGACCACAGCGACGAAATCCAATAAATTGACGATATCGACGAATGCGACGACATCGACGACATTGACGACTACGAGGACGACGACGACGACGACGGCGACGGCGACGGCGAATGCGACGGCGAATGCGACGGCGACAACAGAAAAGACAGCGGCCACGGCAGGGTCAGCCGGCAGTGCAGCCGGCGCCGCAGCAGGTGGCCTGGCAGCCGCAGCAGCTGCGGCCATGGCAGCTGCAGCAGCAGCAGCAGCCCGAGCAGCGCGCCCCATGGTCGCGCCTCGTCCTCGTCGTCTCCTCCTCTGATGGCTTCGTCGTCTCGATCTCCCCGGCGGCCGCGGAGAATGCGGGGGAACCTGCCCGGACGGCAGGAGGCCCTTGGAGCCCTCGGATGAGGCCCGCCCCCTGTGCCTTTGCCCCAGGAGGCGTCCGGGAAGCCCCTGGGGGCGTCCGGGGGGCCCCAGAGTCTTGAGTCGGGCGTGTCCCTCTAAAGGGAGGAGTAATCAAAACAGGTCAAGAATAGTCGGGGGACGATTTTTCGTTCGAGTATCTTTTGACAACTTCCATTTTTCTTTCAAAATCCGCCTGTAGGAGGACATGCCCGACCCAACCGCAGTCTTAGAGGCATCCAGAGACCTCCGTGCGCGGGCTGCATGGAGTCAAAGGGGAGCAAAACCACAATCGTCGATTCCCGGGAAAATATGGGAAGTTCGGGTTGGCCCAAAAGGGGGTCCAGCGACAAGGGGGTGGTGCAATAGATTCGGTGCAGTATATTTGTGGGGTTGCAATACATTTGGGGCTCGCAATACATTTCGGGGCGCAAATTTGTTGCTGGACATTCGCGTGTAATGCACTACTTGCAATACAATGCAATACAATTCTCCGGCGCAATTCATTTGCAGTGCAATTGTCAGAAATCTGTTGCACCACCCCCTCTCAGCTGGACCCCTCTTTGGGTCACCCCAAAGAGGTGGAGGGGGAGACGAACACCCCGAAAATATCGGACATATGGAGGATCCTGGGATTCGCGCTTCTTTCTTTGTGTGCCCCTGGGCCCATTAGAGGAGGCCTCCAGGGGCGCCCGCAGCACCCGGAGACCACGTCGGCCTCTCGAGGAGGTTGCGCTGCCTGCGGCAGGTTCGCGCCGTGTGTCGACGCGGCGGCGACCCCGCCGCGGGCGTTCAGTGATCGGCCTGTTTTCCACCACCACCACCATAAGTTGGAGGGGGAGGGGGTCCTCCTCCTCCTCCTCCTCCTCCTCGTCCTCCTCCTCCTCGTCCTCCTCCTCCTTCCCCCTCCAACTTATGGTGGTGGTGGTGGAAAACACGCCCATCATTCAGGGCTGAACGCCGCTGTTGGCCCAGAGCTGGCCAATCTGAATTGATCTGGCCTTTCGAGAGCCGCCAATCGTTCAGGGTCGAACGATCCGAGCCGTGTCAGAAGCCAGCGCGCTGGCCGTCATGACACGAACCCGCCCGTGCGATGCTATTCTTGGCCCTGGTTCGGGCCCCAGGGCCCTCGCAGCTCGATCGGGCTCGGGCTCGGGGTCGCGGGTTTGGGCAGCGAAATCTCCACCGCGTGGCGAGCTGCTTCAAGGCTTCCAATGGCAGAGTCCACCTCTGCGCGGTCAGAAGGATGAGTCCTCGAAGTCTGGCCTTCTTTCTCCTCTCCTCCTTCTCCCTGCTCCTTTACCGCGTCCCTCCCTACTCTCTTCCTCCTCACTCCCTCCTCTTTCCTTTCTCCCCCTTCTCCTCCTCCTCCTCCTCCTCCTCCTCCTCCTCCTCCTGCTCCTCCTTCCGCACGCTCGACTCCTCCTGCTCCTCCTCCTCCTGCTCCTCCTCCTCCTCCTCCTCTTCCTCAACGCCGTGCCTCCTCCTCCTCCCGCTCCTCCCCCTCCACCTCGTTATCCATCCCTTCTCTTATAAATTACCTTTTGCTGTCGCACCCCCAGACATGTCGGTAGGGCGGGCCGGGCGGTTCGTCTGAGACTTCTTTCCCATTTGTTTACCTGAAGCTTGAAATTTGCAACATCTTCAGGGATGGAGGACTTTTCAAAGGATGGGTATCGCATTAGCGCCGCGCGCATTCTTTTTGAACAAGTGCAGCAGCTTCAAGGATGGAGGGCGGGTGGTTTTCATCATGTGGCTCTTGCTTCAGCGCCGCGCATGTTCATTCGTATAAAATGATTGCAGCATATTCCAGTATGGAAGTCGGTTCCTGTTCCAATGATTTGGAGCTCGCCTTAGAGCCCCGCGCATTCGCACGACAAGCTTGCAACAGGTTCAAGGATTCGCATGGCAGAGGTCAGAGGTCCCTGGAATTGCGTTCTGGCCAGATTTAGGGTTCCCAGAAAGGATGCAACAGTCGAGCAAGTTTGTGGGCTACTGATGTCTCAGGAATTGCGTTCTGGCGCGACTCATGATTGTCAGGACGCAACAGGCACGTCGATTCGTGGCGTTGAAGTTCCAGGAGTGGTGCTTGTGCGCGACTGATGGTTCTCGGTCGATTGTCTTTCAATGGGGCCCTTCGCGCAATGAGCATCAGTTCTTGTGGGGCCTGTGAAAAGGGAACCTGGAGGCAGGGTTCATTACAACATCGTTGATGCGTCTTGGGCTTACACTGGTCATCGACCTCCTGCTTGTCATTCTCGCCGCCCGCGGACATGGAGGTCTGGGCGGCACTACGGAGGCTTCCCGCAGCCCGGCTGTCCCTGGGCCACGCCGCAGGCCCGGGCTGGCCTCCTTGTGAAGATTGGGCCCAAGTGGCCTGGCTCGGGTGGAGGCGGGTGGCGCAACGACGCGCATGTCGTTTCCGCCACCGCTTGCCCGAGCCACCGCCCTGCCCAGAAGAGTTGTCAGAAAGGAGGACGAGGCGGAAGGAGGGGAGGATCCAGCAGGAGAGAGGTGAAAGGCGGAGGTGACGGGCGCGCGGCTGCGGGGAATGAGGGTGGGCTGCAAGGAATTGGCCTGGCCAGCTCAGTGCCAGTAGCCACGAGCCACCGCCTGGTCAGTCGGCGCCCCGCTCGGCGCCGCCCGCGCTGCGGCGGAACGCTCCGCCCGCGTGGAGGCAGGCCGCACGGAAGACCTCCGCGCTGCAGCGCCGCCGCGAAGCTGTGGCGGGCTGCCGCCAGCACCACAACGCCCCCGCGCGCCCAGGTGTGGAGGAGCGCCCGCACCTCCTGCCCGGCGCGCCCCAGGGCTGGGCCAGGGTAAATCGGCTACACGTAAGAGTGACCTTTCCTCACAGTGGCCTTTGGTGCGGGTGCACCAGGGGCCCACAGATGGCCGAACGCGGTGCGATAGCAGCCTGCTGGGCGCCCAGGCTTGGCCTCCCCAAGGCCTCGGACGCCGCGCACCAAAGGTCGCCCTTGTCTGGGGCCCCTCTTGCGTGCAGCCGCGGGTTAGCGGCGCTGCTTCCGCTCCTCTTGGGCCGCCGCGGCAGCGCCGTTCTGGACGGAGTGGCTCCGGCCCGCCGCCGTGCCCGTGAAGATGTTGCGTCTGTGGCCACGTCGACGTAAGACACGCCAACGAAAGGGCTTGTGAAGGCCACGTTAAGGCGGGCTGCTTCGACGGCACCGTCCTGGCGACGTCAGGCCCAGGCCAGGACACATAGCAAGTCCCTGGCGCCGTCATGGCGCTGGATCGTGCCGCCCCCGACCCGGCAGCCCAGGCATCGCCCTGGCGCGGCGGCCAAGTCGGCCCCGCAGCGTGCGCCGCCCTCCCCCCATAGCAGAGGCAAGCAGCGCCGGCGGGGCGCAGCGCCAGGGCAGGCAGGACGTGCGAGGCCGCCTCGACGTGGTGGTCCTCCTGTGGCTGCAGGGGCCGGCTCCCCGTGCCCTCCCCGCCAGCCGAGCGAGCGCTGCACTGCCAGCGGCTGCTGGGCAGAGGGCCCGGCAGCCGCCGCCAGCGCGCCTGCTGCCCCGGCCCTGCGAGGGCGCTCCACGCCTTCGCCCTGGGCCCCGCGGCGACGCAGAGCCAGCCCGCGCCGCGCACTCGGATCGCGCGGCCCGCGCCCTCGGTCCACCCTCCGCGCCGCTGGGCAAGCCGGCTGGAGAGCATCAGGTCCCGGGGGGTCCAAGCACGCTGCAGACGCCGGCCAGGCAAGCCTGCCAGCCTGTCCTCCTCGTCCTCCTCCTCCTCCTCCTCCTCCTCCTCCTCCTTCATCTTTCACCCTCCCTCTTCCTGCCGCCCGCTTCCTGCTGCCCCGTTTTCCCCCCTACCTCTTGGCCTCATCTTTACCCCCTTCCTCTCTATCCTGTGCGGCATGCGCACTTCTTTTAAGGATGTCCGCGTTGACAGCGATGGGAAAGAGGACGAACACAGAAGCCTCTCGCTTAGGACTCAGTAGTTATGTAGAGGCTCCCCATCGATCCAACTCGTCCCCCTCCTCCCTCTCCCCCGCCTCCCTCTTCTTCCTCCGCCTATCCTTCACACTGCTTCACCGCCTGGTACCCATCCCACTCCTCATTTCCGTAACCACTCTGGCTCGACGTAAGCTTGCAAAGTTGCTCAGGCAATCCTCCCTGGGCTCGAGCTTGGCCATGCACATCTGGGCAAAAGCGTTACATATCATAGTGAATCCCCGACGCTCGACGACGTGTTTTTGGTTCAAGCCCCTTCCATGCAGCAGTTTTTCGGTGCCCGGGCACGAACCACAGCTTGCCCACACCAATGGTCGACTAGACGTAAGAGTGACCTTTCGCCGGAGTGACCTTTGATGCGGGCCCAATGGGGCCCCCCGACCGCCCAACGCGATACGGTAGTAGCGTCTTGCGCGCTCGTGTTTGGTCCCCCCGCGGCCCTCCCACACGCCGCACACCAAAGGTCACCCTTACCCAGGGTCGCTCCTGCGTGCCGACGACCAGGGGGCCCGGCCCAGCCACCCCGCGGGCCGCAACGGAGGCCGAGCCGCCGGCATTGACAGTCAGAGCCCCGAATCATCAGGGGTAACTCGGATCAGGGCAAACTCGGGTTCCTTTTTCGGGAATCCAAACCCGAGTTACCCCGGACCCGAGTTACCCCGGATAACTCGGGCGCCCAAGACAGCGCCGCGACGTCGGGCGTCAGGGCATCGCTCCATCTTGCTCCCCACAGCGCTCGCAGCTCCGCCCGCCCCTCTCCCCACGGCGCAGCAGCCCCGCGGCGAGGGCGAGGTCTGCGCGCCGGCCTCCGCCGCGCGCGGGGTGTCCGCCGCGCTCCGGGCGGACGACGCGGCGAGCACGGCCCAGCGGCGCGCAGGCGAGGGGCGGGGTCGGGCGTGTCGTGGTGGTCTTGGCATCGCTCGGACGTGTGCGAATTTTGCCTTCGGCGAGGGCCATCGAGGAGCATCCTTGATCATTAAGGCGAAAAAGCCACGCACGAAACCGAAAAAAAACACATGGAGTGGACGCCCGAGCGATGGCGAGTGGTGGGCTCCCACGGGTGGGTGGGGGAGGGGCACCTCTCTCTGCACCTCTCTGGGGCAGAGAGAGGTGCAGAGAGGAGGAGGAGGAGGAGGAGGAGGAGGAGGAGGAGGAGGAGGAGGAGGAGGAGGAGGAGGAGGAGAGCGAGTGCTGCAGGGCTAGGGCCTAGGGCACCTCTCTCTCTGCACCGGCCCCCCCCGCCGCGGCGGTCGCTGCCCTCCCGCTCCCAGGGGGGCACCCGGCGGGGCCCGGAGGGCCTCGGTGCCCGCGGGTGTTGCTGTCCGCGGGCCCGGAGGGCTTCAGGAGGGGAAAAAACACACAGACACAATTACATATTCGTCGATTCCCAGAAAATGTGGGAAAATATGGGATGTGGGGGGGAAGACAAAGACCCAGAAAATATGGGAAAATATGGGGCATCATTTTATTTGTGTGTATTTATTTGTGTGTCCTTGTGCCCCTTGAGGGTTCTGCTGCTCACGGTCCGAACGTGCTTTTCCCCTCCGCTTCTGCCGGCGCGTCTCGCAGATGCACGGCGTCTGACCTGGCCGCGGCCGCCCTTGGAGGGGCGCCCTCGTGGCCACGGCCGGACGCGGCTCGTCGGCGACATACGAATCAGAGGAGGCGCAGGAGGAGGCGGATATAAAGAGGAAGACGTGGAGGAGGAAGACGTGGATGAGGAGGAGGAGGAGGAGGAGGAGGAGGAAGAGGAGGAGGAGGAGGAGGAGGAGGAGGAGGAGGACGAGGAGGAGGAAGAGGAGGAGGAGGGAGGAGGAGGGAGGAGGAGGAGGAGGAGGGAGGAGGGATTCGGTGGGGAGGGGGGACCTTCGCATCGCGTGACGCAATCCCTCTGCCTATAGTTCGAGACGCTGGCCGGGGTGGGCCCCAGCAGGGGTCCGCGGTCGGGCTGCTTGCCCAGCGGTGCGGGGACGGGGGCCGGGCGAGAGCAACCAGCTTCCTGCGAGGAGGGCTTCGGCCCCTCCCTGGCGACCTCCAGGAACCCAGACACCATCGTCGCGCCGTGGAAACATCAGAGCGGGAGGTTTTCGTCTGTTTGGGGCCCCGCAGGGCCCTCGCCGGGAACCCAGGACGGCAGGTTCTTGTCTATTTGGGGCCCCGGAGGGCCCTCGCCGGGCCTCGGGGCCGTCGAGAGGCGACTCTCGGGACGAAACACCGGTCCTGGGGCTCCAGGGGCGCCGTCCCGAAAAGATCCGGGCGTCGCACGTCCGGGAAGGCTCTGGTGCGGATGGCCGCCGCCGCGCCGCCGACGAAGCATGCCTGGGGGGCGGCGCCGGAGGGGCGGGGTGCCGCGCCGCGCCCCTGGGCCCTGTCCCTGGCGCACGTCCGCTCCGAAGTCGCCCACGGACCCGTGCCGGGGTCTGCCCTGGCCAGTGCCCGAGCCGCCAGGAGCGTGCAGAGGCCTCGCCTCGGTCCTCCCCCCACGGGATCCGACGTCTCGAAAACGGCTGCAGCACCGTCGGACATCACGAATGGCTCCCTCTCACCATATGACCCTGTCTTCCCGCGGCGCCACTACAGTACCGTTTTTTATACATGCTCCGCGTGCGGATCATGTATTAAACATGCAGGGACTTAGTACTAAAAGCAACGATGAGTGCATGAGTAAATGTATTCATACATTGATAATGTTTTAAAAATCATATATGTTTTAAAATCCTATGTGTTAAAAGCTGCCCTGTAGAGCCGGGTCCGTGAGTCTGCGAGGGCCCATGGGGGCCCGCGAGGCACCCGGGCGAGAGCAGCCTGGGTGCGACGAGGTTGGGATCGACGCCCTGCCTGGCCCTCTCCCCGTGCGCCGCCGGGGTCCGCGGCGGCGCGCGCCCCCCCCCCGAGGCTTCGTGGAGCTCCTGCAGGCCTCCGCCTCTGCACGGTGGTCTCCGCGGCTGGGGGCGGCGGCGGCGGCCGCCGCCGCGCCGCCCGCGGGCCCCGGGGCGGGGCCCGCGCCCGAGGCGCGGCCTCAGGCGCCCCAGCCTCGGCCTGGTCGGGGCGCGGGCCCAGGTGCCATGGGGTTGCGCTGCCGCGCGCGTGCCCGCCGCGCCAGGGGTGGGGGGGGGGGGGGGCAGCTGTGCCCGGACCGTTCGGGAGGGCCGAGGAGGCAGCGTCGGAGCCAGTGGCCTTTCGATCCCAGGCGGCGCCTCTCATCAAAGGGCAGCGGACGGCATGTGATTTTTTGAAGCTCCGCGCGGATTTCTTGGATCTGCGCTGGAATCCCCTGGCGGCGCCTCCGGCGCCGCCCCCGGCGCGCTCCGCGCGCCAAGGAGGGGGGTCCAGGTCAGATCAAAGAGATCCGCGCGGACCTCCAGAAGTTACTGCTTGTGCCGTTGTTTGCTCCTTTATATGAGAGAGACAAGTATCGGGTTGGGAGGATGGGGCTGGGAGAGATGATCAGAGCATCTGAATCCCACCAGCCCTCTGGGCGCAGGTGGTCCAACGAGATTCCTTTTCCCTCTTTCGAAAAACCCTTTTTCCCCTACGGGGATGGGTTTATCACTGCTCCCTATCAATAAGCACCCGCAGCACCCCCTCTCCCAGGCGACTGGTAGCCAACCAGGAATCATGAGGGCCCCCCACCCACCATCCCGGGTAAAATACAATGCAAAACACACTCTGCCTCCAAATTCGGAGCATGCGCAGCCAACCCGATGCGGACTCACTCCACCATCCCTGTCAAAAAACAAGACAGAGTACACTTGGCGGCGGCGGCGGCGGCTGCGGCGGCTGCGGCGGCGGCGGCGGCGGCTGCGGCGGCATGCGTCGCCGAACAGGGGCCCGGCGGCCCTCCCCGGTGTCGCTGCTGGGGGCGACCGCCAGGTCCACTGAGCGCCCCACGGGCAACTCGTGGTTTCCGCATGGCTTCCCGTGGAATGCACCCAGCCCAGTGGCCTGGAGTCGGAGGTGGATAGACCTCCTACCCTGACACGTCGATTAAGGAATTGGCCGTTTTCGGTTCGCGAGAGGCGTCGCGGCCGTCATTTTTGCGGGTCCAGGTCCATCGGTTTCGGTCCCAGGCCGTTTTCACTAAGGGGAGGTTTACTAAAGGAAGGTTTGTCCACCGCCGATGGAGCATACAGTGGATGCATGTTGTGCTCGATGCGCCAGGGGGGACGACTCGTCGATTAGCATGAGTCGAGACCAGCGAAGGAAGCAAGCTGCCAGACAAGCACTGACAACCCGCTGCGCGGCGTTGTGGCGGATGGCGGCGACCTCTGCGGCGTCGTCGGAGGCTCCAATGTCATCGCTGCAGGTCGCCGCATCTTCCAACTTCAGTGCCGTCGCACCCGCGAGCGCGCTGTCGCCAGCGGCTCCAGCGGCCAGTCCCGCGGAAGCGCACGCAGCCGGCAGCAGCGCATCTGCGTCCGCGGAGGAGCCGCCTGCGGTGCCAGCGGGGGTCAGCGAGATCGTGAGGCCAGCGGATGGCCCAAAGGCCACGCCAAGGAACATATTGGCGATGGGTGGTGCTGCACACGCGCGGGCGTCCGCGCCCCCAGCCGAGGTCCCAGAGGCCCCATCGGACGGCGCATCCGGACGGCACGGCAGTGCTTCCACGCCAGCCGGCGGGCCTACTGGGGCAGATCACGGGAGTCTCTGGGGACAGCTCAAGGAGGCCCTACACTTTGCAGCGAGCACGCTCGGCGAGCACTTCTCGGAGGAAAATGACACCACGAATGACATTCTAGTCGGTGGCGACCTAAGCGAACTGTATTCAGAGTATGTGCGAGCTGGGTTTATCACGATGGGAGTTCAGGATGCGAACGGGAGCGTGCCTACATATGCCTTGTCGGCGGAGTCCACGTGGCACAAGTCCATCGCCGTGCTGTGCGCCATATCGGTTCCTGTGATGCTGTTAGTCGTGACCACCGGATTGTATTTGCACTTCAAGGGAGATCCCTTACCAACGCCAAGTGCTCTGTAAGCCGGGTCAGGTCAGAAGCCTTGTGCCAGGCGGCGCGCGAGCAGAGTGAAGCAAGACGATTGCGGCTGCGAAGGTGCCCTTCGGCACTCCATCCAAAGCAGGCTCTGCAAAGCATGTCCCGCCAACCCGCTAAAATGTGCCAGAGAGGAGATATGTCAGGACATTTCGTATGATGGCGGTGCCAAGAGTGCCCGCTGCTCTCCTCGCAGCAGCGTCTGCGGGTCCAGCCAGCGGGGGGTGCAGGGGCCTTCTCGTTGATTCGCACTGCCGCGGGAGGGAGAGGAGACGGCGGGGGGAGGCGGAGGGGGAGAGGGAGGGCGAAGGCGAAGGGGGGAGGGGCGGCCAGACCAGCAACGCCAGTCGCGTCGTGCCCCGCAGACGCACAAACCCGCAGGGGGGCGGCCTGCGGCGAAGCGTCCCGCGGGCATGCCGAAGAGCGGGTGTCCCTTGCCCCGCGCACTCCGTGGGCGACGGCGCTCCAGGGCGGTGGCGAAGTCCAGAGTCTGCCCTGCACTGAGTCATGGGGCTGCAGGCTCCTCCACAGACGCTGCACACCGACAGGGCCTGATGCCCTGCACCTATAGACTCCTTCTGTGAGTCATGGGGCTGCAGGCTCCTCTACAGGCGCTGCACACCGACAGGGCCTGGTCCCCTACACCGATAAACTCCTTCTGTGAGTCATGGGGCTGCAGGCTCCTCCACAGGCGCTGCACTCCGACAGGGCCGGGTCCCTCACAACTATGAACTCCTTCGGCTGCTGCTCAGTCCGTCGACTGAATACCTCGTGTGGCTGCCCACGTCTTGCATCACACCTGATGTTGCCATCCAGGGGTTGCACTCGCGAGGGAGGCCACTCCTGGCAGTCCCAGCCGTGCTACCTCCCCCTGGTGGCCCGTCTGCAACTGCTGCATCCACCCAGGGGTTGCACTCGCGAGGGTGGCCATCTCGGCCCGACCCAGCCGTGCTACCTCCCCCTGGTGGCCCGTTCATCTCGCCCACGTCCTCGGTCGCCTTCGGGTCGCTATCGTAGGTGTCCAAGCTGAACTGCGGGCTCGCGGACGTGCACATCGAACCGTTCTCGGGGATCGTCTTGCAGTTTGCCGTCGCAGCTTTGATCTCCTCGTTCGCCTTCGGGCCGATGTCCACCACACCTGCTGTTGCCACCCAGGGGTTGCACTCGCGAGGGAGGCCACATATGGCAGTCCCAGCCGTGCTACCTCCCCCTGGTGGCCCGTGCATCTCGCCCACGTCGCTGTCATAGGTGTCCGTGCTGGTCTTTGGGCTCGCGGACGCGCTCATCGGGCCGTTCTCGGGGATCGTCTTGTAGTCTGCCGTCGATCATCTTCGGGCCGATGTCCGTGTCACGCCAGTCGCCCTTGTTGAGCTGCGGGCTTTCGTGCACGCCAGTTGGGCCGTTCCCAATGGCCGTCGTGCAGTCCGCCATCGCAGCCTTGAGCTCTTCGGTCTCCTCCAAGCCCTCCTCGCCGCCCGCGGGGAACTCGTCGCCGCAGGCTACGTCGCGCTGGGGGAGGCGGGTCGACTCGCCGTGGCCCTCCGTCACTTTCCACTTGGTGCCGTCCACGTCCTGGAACATGCCTTTGAACTCCACGTCTGGGTCCAGGTCGTGCTTGCGCGTGTGCTCCGCCGTCACTTCTGCGGCCCTCGTGCCCTCCACGTGCCGCACGCACGTGAGCGCGTTCTCCGCCTTCGGGGCCTCCGGCCTGCACACGGAGCCGTTGGTCTTGGTCACCTGCCACTTGGTGTCGTCCGCGTTCGCGGAGCCTTGATCACCTGCCGCAGGGTGCCGTCCACGTCCTCGCAGGCCTGTGCCGGAGCCATGGCTGCGCGCCTGCCTCCGGGCGCTGGGGGCGGAGGAGGAGGAGGAGGAGGGGAAGAGGGGAGGGGGGACACGATGCGTCAAGTGTACCATGTTCCATGATCTGACATCTGCTGCTTCCCACGCTGCAGCTGCACCGGCCTCCGGCCAGAAGAAGTGAACACGGCGGACGTGGGAGCCAGCAATTTTCATGCAACTATTCATCACCATGATGCCCCACATCTGTCGGCGACGTCGTCGCTTGGGGGTCCCTGTCGGCATTCGGAGTTCGATGCCGCCAGGCTGGAGGACGGAGCTGCGCACCGGGTCGTTGCCAGGACGCCTTGCGAGCTTCCCTAAAAGTATCACCTGTCGTTTTGCAATGGTTTCGCTCAGCGGCCTGACTCCAGCTGTGCTCAACGCGGCTGCAATATGAGGGTTGCATCCAGTATATTTTTCTCAAGCACCTAGCCTGGAAACCGTCGAGTCGTTTCCGCTTTGATCGACTTCATAAGCAAGCAGCAACAACGCAATGATATAGTCTTGAAGCCACACACGCGTTGAACATCTTCACCTTGATATGCCTATGACATGGTTGCGTGGGACCAACTCGAATCTAGCACCTTGAAGTCTTGCTTCGCTGCGCCCATGCTCCTGTTCAGCTCGGAACCGCAGCGGCCCGTTGGACGAAAGCCGGGTTCCAAAGTACACCAGCGCCTCCTTTTCCCGCTTGATCTCACCGACGCTGTTCACCACGTGCGCGTTGGAGCGCCCGTCATCATCTCGACTTTGCTTGAATGTTAGCACAGCCCGTACTGTTTGCCGCACTCCTCCACGCACGACACCAGCTCCTGCACGACGTCTGCATTCGCATCCTGGAGGAGCGTGTCGTCTGCGTAGGCCAACTCCCGCACGAAGTGCAAAACGGGGGTGCTTGGGAGTCTCTCGAGCAGCTTCGCGTGCGCGTCCTGTAACAGTGTCGTCATGACGATGGTGAATGAGAACGAGGACAGCGGGCACCCCTGACAGATGCCGAAGCTTTGCCATCGCTCCTCCGAGTCTGTGCCGATATCAAACACGACGAATTTGCTGTCGTTGTAGGTCGCCGCCACCGTGTCGACGCACTTGGGGCAGCCGAATCGCCGAAGTGACGTCGTCATGGCGTCCAGGGATACAGAATCGAAAGCTTTGGCCCAGTCCAGCGCCAGCAGAAGGACAGTCCCGTCTTTTGTGGCCCACACGTCCTCAAGCGCGCGTCTGGTCACGAAGTTTGCGTCCGAGTTGCATCGCTGTGTCCTCAAGCCAACCTGTGTCGGCCATATCCTGTCCTCCGCCCCGGCGTCCTTCAGCCTCTTCAGCATGATCGTTGCGAAAACCTTATTTCTGATTGGCAGCAAGCCGATCGGTCGGGAATTGTCGCAGGCCGCAGGGTTTTCCTTCTTGTAGACCATGCGCACGCGTGGTTTAAGCCAAGCGTCTAGCATTGTCGTCTGCGACCAGGCCACGCTGCAGAATCGAGCGACCCAGGCTAGAAGGCTGGCTGACCACCATCGGAAGACGCTTGCCAGGCAAGCCGTCCGAAGCTTCCGTTCGTCGGCTCCTCCGTCTGCGCGCCGCCCAGGTGCGGTGCGCAGTCGGAGGAAGCGACGAGCGCAGACGGTGCGTCCGTCGCAGGCCTTGCGGAAGGCCCTGCGGCAGGACGGTGCGCTGCGTGCGACCATTTCGTCGGGGCAGGAAGGCTTGCCAAGACGTGATCGTCGCAGGTCGCAGGCCGCAGGCCGCGGAGGCGCCTCGTCGGCTTCTCCTCGTCAGTGATGCTTGGCATCGCTCGGACGTGTGCATTTTTCCTTCGGCGAGGACCATCGAGGAGCATCCTTGATCATTTGGCGAAAAAAACACGCACGAAACCGACAAAAAAACACAGGGAATGGACGTCCGAGCGATGCCCAGGATGGTGCCCGGGTGGACCCAGGCGGACCGGGTGGACCACAGGGCCGTCGGGCAGCGCAGGCGTCGGCGGCACCGCCCTCTGCAAGGGGCTGCCACGTGTGCCGCTGGCGGGTCCGCTCTGCGGTCGTCGTCCGTCGGCTCGCCGTCGGTAGTCCGAAGACGTCTTTTCTCGCCGTCTGTAGTCCGAAGATTTATTGCTGCCCTGTCCACTACGTTTCTCTTGCATGCGAGTTTTGTTGCCGTAGTGTCTCACGCCCTCCGGCTCCGCTTGCGGAGCGAGGTGCCTCCATAGGCCCCTCGACCGGACTTGACCTGGTCCTGGAACTGCGCGATCTCCGGATCTGAGCCCGATCGCCATCCCTGGTGACATTCTCAAGCCAAGTCGCTGTGTCTCTGGCGACCGGAATCCCGATGCGCTTCGCAGTGTCCAGTTCTCGAACTGCGTCGCCCTCCCGTCTTGCATTGTGTCTCGTCCCTATGAGCTCCAGCGTGCTGTTACTGATCCACGGCTTGCGAGGACGAATCGATTCCGATGGCAGTGCTTTCTCTTCGGCATGCTTGAAACAATAGATATATCGTCCCAGACCTCGCCCAAGTGTTTCTGGAACGTTCGTCGGACGCTTTCGTCGGCGAGGACATTGTCGTCTCGGCGATAAGCTTGCTCTGCCGCGCGGTACTTATCAACTTGCATGTGCACAGAAGCCTGGATCAGCAAGTGGTGCGACGACAGCGGCACCTCCGGATGAGAAGGAGACGGAGAGGGGAGGCATTCACGGACAAGGAGGAGGACTAGCCATAACCAGGAATTGGGAGGAGGGAGGGGACTGGGGGGGGGAGTTGGAGGAGGAGCAGCAGCATCAAAAGGAAAATAGGGAGGCGGGAAGTGGGAGGAGGGGGAAGGGGGAAGGCGGGAAGGTGAGAGGAGAGCAAGAGAGAAGGAAGAAGGTGAGGAGGGGAGCCCGGCAAGCCAGGGGAGCAGCCAGGAGCAGGGAAGAGGGAAGGATGAGAATCACCGAGCGCGTTCCACTACTCGCAAAGTGCCTACTCGAAAAAGGTCGGAAAGATATATGTCGGCTTTGATGCAACTTGTCGTAGATCCCCCGCGGCGTATCCAGGCCATCTGCGAGCAGTTACTTTGCGAGTCGTGGAGCGCGCTCGTCTAGAGAGAAGGATGCTGAGGATAGGGGTTGTGTGGGGGGGACTCTGCAGCCCTCGTGCTGAAGCCTGCCCAACG